AAGAAGATTGGAAGCTGAGAGGCTGCTGATGACTGGGTGAGTGGGACCCTTTGGGCTGGACAGTGGGGATCTGGCTGGGTGATGTGATCTGCACTACTCTCCTCACAGTCCCTTCCCGCAGAGACCAGTACTGCCACAGGGATGAGCTCTCCGCTTTACCTCTGGCCCTGTGAGATAAAAGTGGGAAGTACAGGCAACAGCTGTAGGTAAGGGGCAAGCAGGTTGGCCTGGGGCTCCCCAGCATGCTCCTCTCCCTTTAAGACAGAGCCTCAGAGACCCGAAGTGTTTCGAAACGTGCCCAGTCTTAGCGATGGGCTTTAAGGTAGGGTGGAGTTGTAGGTGATTCAGAGACCATCAGGAGAGCTTGCTCCTGGGGGAAGAGTGGAGCACGACTGTACAGAGGCAGTGATGATCTCTGGTCCCTTTGGTTTAGTGGGGGAATAGGAAAGAAGGATAAAAGGAAATCTATCAGTAAAAGCTTCAGAGAACTCTTTTTGCATCAGGTCTTGAAGTTTCCTGATTCTTAAAAAAGGAATCTCTTTCCGAAATCTCTGACATACTAACCATACCTGTTCACCTTGGTGTGAATTTTAAATCTTTCAAAAAGCTCTCATTCTCCATGAAACGTCACACAGATAGATGTATATGCGTTGTGTTAGTACCTGTCATGTGACTGTAGTACAGGATTCTGTTTTTTCAGCATAGCAATACACAACAATCTGTGGAGAATCATAATATTCCATAGCACTATGTAAACAATTTTATTATTAATTGAACCTGTGTGCATTAGAAGCTTAAAGAATTTAACTTCTGTACTGTATATTGATCACAAGTAAAAGTCACTTTGAACCTCAGTTGGCGGTTCAAGCTCACCAGCTGCTCCTCAGAAACCCTATACAGGGTCGCTATGGGTCAGAACCGCCTCAACAGCGCTTAACAACAACAGTTTTTTTAGAAAGAGCATGTTGCATTTGCTTTTCTAAGGGAAGATATCATGGGTGCCAACGAGGCTTTAATTTTTATTATTGATTTTAATCTCAGAATCTACAGTAATCATATTGACTATTTGCACTGCAGGTGGAAATGAGTTCTCAACAGTTTCCTCGTTTAGGAACCCCTTCCACTGGGTTAGGCCAAGCCTCTTCACAGATTTCAAATAGTGCTTCTTCAGGATTGATAAATCCAACTGCTACAGGTAAGATGTGTAACATTCTGAATTGCTTACTGTGTTGAGTGTTGCTAGTTTTCTAGTTTAAAAATTAGCAAATACCTTCTGGGAAAAACAGACAACCAGTCCAATCCAGAAATAGGCATAGGACATTCAAGAGGATATTTAAATGCTCAACAAGCACATGAAAAGATGCTCAACAGGAAAATGTAAGTCAAAACCACAATCAGTTATCTCCTCACCCCCATTAGAATGCAGATGATCAAAAATCTGAAAGCAACAGTGTTGACAAGACTGTGGAGAAACTGTGACCGTCATCCATTTCTGGAGGGAATATAAAGTGGTGCATCCGCTGTGGAAAACAGTTTGGCAGTTCCTCAAAAAGTTGAACATAGAATTACCATATTACTCAGCAATCCCAATCCTAGGTTAGGTAGTTCCTGATTTACAGCTTATTCGAGTTGGGGTTATCGGTACTTGACAACAGTCTGGTTTTTTGGCATGTCTTAATTGTAGTAATATACACTACAGACAGTGTTGGCATTTTTCTTTTGCTAATGTTACCATTGTCAGATATTCACTGGCAGATATTCAATGGCATGATTTGTAAAGATACTGATAATAAAAGGCAGTAATAATTATAACTTTAAAAAATGAAGAATTTGACGTACTGATTTTTGCCATACTGACAATCCTATTATAAGTTGGGCACTACCTATGCATGCCCAGAAGAAGTGAAGACAGAAACTCAAGCAGAAATCCCAATAAGTGTTCTTGAAGTGCTTATCCCAATAGCCAAAAGATAAAAACCAAAATGTCTATCAGCAGATGAATGAATAAAGAAAATATGATACATATATATATAATGGAATATTAGACAGCCAGAAGGAGAAATGAAATTCTGAGGCATGCCATACATGTTGAGTGAAACAAGCTCGTTGTAAATGGACAAGTATCTTATTATCTCACTTATATGAAATAAATATAGAAACCATTGATTGTTAATGGTTACCAGAGGGTGGGAGAGAGTTTTTTTTATTTTTTAGGTGGGCATTAAGTTAGTAATGATGGGATATTTTGAGTGAGAGTTAATATTGATGGCACATAAGAAAAATATAATCAGTGTTACTAATTTGTAAATGTGGAGGTTGTTGGGGGTGAGATAAATTCTTGGGCTTTTAATAATACTGTGTTATTTTAAAGAAAGAATATATTAGAACTCTTTGTTTATGCAGATTTATTATCTTCCTTTTGAGGGATCAGACCCCTTAGTGATCCCAACCCCGTAAAGCTTATTATATTAGAATTTTGAGGTACCTATAGTATCGCTCTGGTAGTATAGTGGTGTTGAACTGGGCTGCTAATCTCATGGTCAGCAGTTCGAAACTACCAGCTGTTCTGCAGGTGAAAGATGACGCTCTCTGCTTCCGTAAAGATTTACAGTCTCAGAAACCCTGTACAGGGTTGCTATGAGTCGGAATCGACTCCACAGCAAATAACAACAACAATGACAGTATTTCATAATAACTAATGGGCACTACTTTGCATTGCTCATCAAAACATTAGTAGTTGTTTAGGGCTGCTGAGTTGGTTCTGATTCATTGTAACTCTGTGTAGGATTAAAAAGGAGTGGCTGGTGGGTTTGAACTGCTAACCTTGAAAAGATGTTCTCTTGTATCTGGAAGTATTTCTTTAATGTTTTTTTTTTTGTCTAGAAAGGCACACTATACCATGACAGACATTGGACTAACTGATGACTACATCTAACTGTCATGACTTAACATACTAATTTGATCTAGAGACAGACTTAGTAAAGGAACTTGTTTGTTATCTGGGGACTGCCTGTATATAATATGATTTTTGCACATCTACATTACCAAAAATTCTATTTCACAACATTTTGTGGACATTAAGCAATGCGTGACTATACTATATAGTCTTACTTGTTATTAACTACCATCGAGTCTTATAAGGGGGCTTTAAAAAGTTCATTGAAAAATGGAGTTAATAATGGAATTTTTCCACAAATTTTGCAACTTGTTTTAGTTTTATGCCTTTTGAGTGTCATAGACTAGTGTTTCATATTAAGGGAAGTTTTGCTTTCTAGGGAATGTTTGACAATGGATAGAAACATTTTTGATGGCATACTGGAGGTTGCTACTGGCATTGGAGGTCAGGGATGCTGCTAAGTACAAAGGACAGCACCCCCACAACCAATAAGTATTCACTCAAAATGTCAACAGTATTAAGGATCTCATTCCTTTTGATTCTCCCTCATATCAACTCAAAAGTTGACATCACAAAGTGAAATAAAGTACTTTTTTCTACACTTTCTGATCCATATTCTTGATCATGGTAAATGGTACTAGCATTTACTCATTGCTCAAACCAGGAACTTGGGCATCATCTGTACTTGTTCTTTGTATTTTATCTGTGAACTGTGACCCTTGTCTAATATTTCTGCTTTATTTCCTGCTGCTATACCTCTTTTCTACCAATTTACTTTTTTTAAAACAAATTTATTTTTGTTTTAATTAGAGTTGAAGGTACTTTATGCCTCTGCTTAATAGTGGTGGTGGTGGTGGTTGTGGTTGTTTGCCGTGGAGCCAGTTCTAACTCATAGTGACCCCGTACAGGGTTTCCGAGGCTGTAAATCTTTATGGGAGCAGAAAGCCTCCTCTTTCCCGTGGAACAGCCAGTAGTTTCGAACTGCTGACCTTAAGGTTTGCAGCCCAATTCGTAACCACTATGCTACTAGAGCGCCCTGATAGTATTTACTTATATTTGCTGAATGAATGATGAAAACTTGCCATTTTTCAGGACCTCAGGCTTTTGTTTAGTCTCTTCCTTTTACCTCAGTCTTCCTTTTTCCTATCCACTTTCACTTGTCTGTTAATTCCTATTGTTGAGGATTCAATTCAGATGTCACTTTCTCTGGGAAGTTTTTGCTGACACCATTATCCATAAATATTCAGATTAGGAACCCCCCCTAGACTAAAGGCTGCTCAAGGATTGGGACCATGTCTGTCTCATATACCTTTTGGTGTACTACATGTAATATAATATAGGGAACAAATGAGGGGTCAATAAGTCCCTATAGAAGGATCTCTGGTAGCATAGTGGTTACAGATCAGGCTGCTAACCTCAAGGTCGGCAGTTTGAATCTACCAGCTGTTCCGTGGGAGAAAGATGAGGATTTCTGCTCCCATAAAGATTTACAACCTTGGAAACCCTGTGCAGGGTCACTATGAGTCGGAACTGACTCCACGGTGCTGAACAAGTCTCTATAGAGTGACTTAAAGTTCTTTTACTCCTTTACAGATATCTTTTGACAGTGTTTTGTCTCTAGATTAAATTCACAGAATAAAGGAGGCTAGCCAAACACATTTGTGTTAGGAGTTATACTGTTAATTAAAAGTGGAGCTAATTAGATATAATTGCCCTAATTTTTGTTGGCTGAATGAAAAGGAAATCATTCTTAGACCACAATTGTCTAATTTTACTTGTGAAGGGAATATAGAAGTATATACCTAAATTGATCGTATAAAAAAGTTTTCATAAGTAGTTAGATGTCTTTGTGTTTCCTATTTTTTATCAGAAGAGGCAATTTGATTTCCTAAGCATGTAATGATTTAAAGTACATGCTCGAAGTTAGGAAGTGTAGATTAAAAACCAAGTTTCTTAACTACAGCTTTAAGGTTTATTTTGGTAAAAATGAACTGAAGTAAAGAACTACAAAATGTTAAAGAAAATGATAAATGAATTAAAAAGAACTCAGTAGGAAATGTTCACTATTTGTAATATATATTTTTATATTTTATATATATATATTTTATATATATATATATTTTTTATATATATATATATATATATATATATGTTATTGTTGTTAAGTGCCATGGAGTTGGTTCCAACTCATAGTGGCCTCATCTTTCTCCTGCGGAACAGCTGGTATTTTTGAACTGCTGACCTTGAGGTTCATAGCCCTATTCATAACTACTATGCTACCAGAGTTCCTTTTGTTTTTTATAGTTCCTATGGTTTTTTTTGTGTTTTTTATTAAGGTAAATATCCATGTACAAATATCCTTTTTCACACTCATATAATTGTGGATATACTCCCAATCTTTCTTCCATACCCGTTCAGTCTGTGTCTCTGTCCATGTATCTGCCCACAGAATACTGCTGTTTCAAGATTATGTAGTAAATCAATGTTTACCTCTGTTCCCTTTAGTATAGTACCCTGTGTTCTCACCTGTCTTCATCATTCTTTTGCCAACCTTCCTCTGGTTGTATATTGCCATCCCCCTTATTGTATATTGCCCTTCCCTTTGCCCAAGTTAAGATGTGTCTACACATAATACCACCAACCACCTTTTAGCCAGTGAATTACTGGCCTTTCCCACCTACCCCTGATAAGCATCAAAGAATGTTTCTTTTAATATGAAACCTTTTCTCAAGTTCTTACAATAGTGATTTCCTGCAGTATTTGCCCTTTTGTTATGGACATGACACTGCAGGATAATGTGCTGGACTGCAAGGTCACTGGTTCAGACTCACCAGTCCCTCTTCAGAAACCCTATACAGGGTCACTGTGAGTCGGAACTGACTTGATGGCACTTAACAACAACAACAATTTCATAATGTCCTCTAGGTTCATCTGTGTTATGTGTTGTTTTGCAGACTCATCATTATTCCTCAACATTATATATACTACTTGAATTTTAATGAAATAGAGACAAATCAAAGTTACTGTCAACAAAAATATATGTATTTTTGTAAGCTATACAAAAAGCCTTTAATATGGGCACAAAACATTAGACATTAGAGGTAGTCCTCAATTTAAGATATTTGACATACAATGAAATAAATCTTATTGTTAGTAACATATACTACATATAGTGTTCTAGCATGTAATTGACTGATGTCATATATCTTTATGTTTGTATATAATGTTTCCAACTCCCAGAGATGACAAAGATGGAATTTATAATGTCTAATGTTTTGTGCCCATATTAAAGGCTTTTT